TGAACACCATTTCCCAGAAGTCCAAGCCCGTCACGACTGAAACATCGCCAGCTGATGCCAGCCGACTGGTGGGAGAACTGAACTGAGGCCCACGTCAAGAGATGGCTGTAGCTATAACACATCTTCTTGTGTTTTTTACAACTTAAAAAGTTGAGACAGGTGAAACTAATATCAGAAACACAATGTTAATGTTGTGTTACTTGAACCAACGAAGTCCAGAAGAGTCTAATAAATGAATGACGTATAATATGTGCACCACCGTGCTGCAAAACAACCACAGGAACTGTAGTTTTTTTCCCTGATGTGAGAAATAAATCCTAGGGACGCACTTAGTTTTCATGAGGTGGCCTTGCACCAGGAGGCTATGATAAGATAAAAAAAGACTTTTAAAAGACTTAAGTGTGACACGCTCTCACATCCAAAGACAATGTGTCATTTGTCACAGAGTTCTGCCCCTATCGTTATTGTTGTTTACGATGTTCACATCACTGTTTGCATGAGCCAAGACTAAAGACTTAACCATAATATTAAACATGTTTGATTTTATTGGAACATCAAGACAAGAAAAAGACCGCCCTAAATGACTCAGATCACCTCCTTATACTAAACGACTGAGATGACACAAGCGTGACACGACTGCAACAAGACTCTCATGATTTTATTCAGATGTTGGAAATTTGTCTGCTACTAGAAATCGCTTGAAAAGTTGTTAGGGGTAAGGCCGGTGTTACAATGACCAATGAAAAAATGCAAAATGAGAGATTCCATAGAGTCACTAAAACTAGTGGAGCAGAGGCTCATCCAGATGTGACTTCAGGCTCTCTATAATTCAGCTTCTAGAGACCAAGAATGCGTATGTAAAATGTGACTTACTGAAACTGCAGTTTGGACCAAGGTGGTGGACAGACTATCACTGCAATCCCTAGAGCTGCTAGCATAGCAACAACCCACTGATGAGTATAGAGTATATCCTAACTGACAATCCTAATTCAGTTAATCGTATGCAGAGGTCAATTTGTCCAATTTGTGTCAAAGTGCTGTTGAAATACTATCACACAACTATAATAGAAATGCAAGAATTAGTTGGATTAAACCATATTTTTACTTTGAAATGCACCCCTCGTGTCTGATAAAAAGAGTAATGGAATGTGACGGCTGCACCCGAGCTTACAGTATAAAGAGATGCTTTCCTGACTCTCCACTGAATGAATTACACAGCAACAAAAGAAAAATAACGCACCGTTTTCTAAAACACAGAGTATCTACTGAACAAATTCACTGAAGCCTCATATGCTCTCATGCTGTATTTTCTTACACAGTAGTTACAGATGGCTGAATGTCCTCAGCAAACACCTGTGGTAATAAATGTCCCACTCTCTCTCTATATATACTGTATATTCATAATCATTCAATAGTGATTATGATAAAAACTGTGCAATAGACTGTTGTGGTCCACTTGTTTGGGGCTATTATCCCAACCCTGCATAAGACATTAAACCACAATTTAAATATAGCACAAAGCAATAAGTACAGCATGTGTATATTTTTTTGTCAATGGCATCAAAGCACTGCTTTGTAGTCCATAACACATGCTACACAGCTGGTGTTGAGCGGCTCACAGTGTAATAATTTTGCCTGCTTTCCCCACAGGATGCAAAAAAAAAAAAAAAGCGATCAAACCCCTAACCTTCTGTTATCAGCATCGAGTCCAATTAGCTCAGCGACACTGTGTCACACTGATAAATTCACTGCCATCTGTAAATGCTTAGAGAATGCATTTTGTTGGGCTATTTACTCCTTATCTTAATTTGTTAAATTCTCTGGGTATTTGCAGAACTGGGAGCAAATCATTGTCCAATTTTAGAAAACTTATTTTTTAGTTAAATTAGCAGTGGGACTCTGGGGATGGCAGTGTCAGTCTGTTCTCCACTTTTGTCCAAAGCAAACTATCTCAACTAGTATTTAATGGATTGCCATGTAATTTTGTAGAAAAAGTCAACGTTTTCTGATGATGACTCTTTGGTGATTCATTGACTTTTCCTCCAGAACCACCAGCAGGTCAGAGTTCTCAGTTATCCTGTGATATACTGTATCTCAACATCTACTGGACAGTTTGGCATAAACTTTGGTACAGACATTCATGGTTCCCAGATGGTGACTCCTAATGATTTTGGTGACTTCTCTGACTTTTACTCTACCACTACCTGGCTGTTGGTTTCTGTTTCTTTTAGTTTTTCTATACAATACAAGGGTCCAGTAAATCCCTCACCACATCTAGCCTAATACTGCCCCAGTGCACAGACAGATAGGCTGCCTGAACATCGCATGTTGCTGAAATGAAGTCTGATAAACCTGGATTGATAACAGACACTGTAAATAATATAATTTAGCTTATTAGACCAGCACAGATTTCTGTCAATAGCAGTACTTTGCTTCAGCCATTAATGAAGCAAACCACAGATGGGGCAACTGTGGTTCAGTGGGTAGAGCGGTTGTCTCCCGACCAGGGGGTTGAAGGCTCGGCTCACGGTGCCTGCAGTCCACATGTGAAAGTGTCCTTGGGCAAGACACTGAACCCCCAAGTTGCCCCCGATGGTTAGAGCCATTGGTGTGAGTTGGCGCCGCAGATGGCTGCCTCGGTTCTGTACTGGAAACAAATTCCGTGTGTGTGTGTGTAACATACTTGGCCATTAAAGGTTTTTATTAATAATAATAATATAACATGGCAAGTACATCTCCAGTCTTTGTGAATATGCATTCACAAATGTCAAGTACATCTCGCCAAAGGTGTTCTGACTTAAGCCCCTAATTACTACTGGTAAAATATCATCTGCACCTAAAATCTTAGAAGAATGTTTTATATATTTATTCTCTTCTTCATTGCACTTAAAGAACTAAATAAATCAAAGATATTGAACACATCCAGTACAAGTAGGCCTGTGTTTCCACCATGACTGTACAACACTGGCCCCCCAGTGAACAATGCTGAAAAAACTGTCCCACGTTGAGTCTAATTGCTGACTCCTGCTCCAGAATCTTAGCCTTGTTTAGATATAACAACAAAGTACAACAGTTTAATATAACTCCAGTCTAGGTATCATATACTATAGGGGTTCATGTAGAAGAGCTTAAAGGATAGAAAGAAGGAGCCATGACTTTTATGGGTACAGAGCTTCAACAACCTGTCAATCATTGGCAGACAGGCCATTATAAAGCCAATCATCTCCACTTGTTCAGCCGCTGGCATTAAACGCAGTCAGACGTTTCCACTGGACAGCACTCAGCCTCAAGGTTAGACAGCTTTTCAGTGAAGTCCTTTCTCATTCATTCATCCTTATATTCTTCTTCCCCCCTCCCCTTTCATTTCCTCGAGCCCCATCACTCTCATGTGATGATTTAATACCAGCGTTCTATTCCCTTTGTCTTTCTTTCTGCTCCTCCTCTCCTCCCCCCATGATGAAGCCTGATGAAGTCAGAGTGCCGCTCGGGTATAAACAGCCACTGCAGGCCATCCATAGTGATCTCATTACACAGAACTGCAGGGAAAACTGTCTTAACCAATTTCACAGCTATCCTTCTTTAACCCCCCACCCCATGCAAATATATATATATCAGGGTCAAGTAAGCAATTAAGGGACCAATTGTCTAAACAGGATGCCAGTTGAACTGAAGATACAGAAATGATGCAGCAAGCCTGGACAGTTTCCAATTAAGCATCAAAGAATAACATGAACACCCTCTAATTGTTTTGCACTGGCAAACCTCTCAAGTGTAACTTGTGCAATGGTAGTATTAATCCATATTATATGAATAATTAACAAGCCGACTGGAAGGATTACTAAAATAAGCATTACTGTGTGACACCACATTATTAGACAATACTTTTTTTTAATTGCCTGAAATCTCTCTGGCAACAAGAAGAATCATTAGGAGGGAAATGCAAAACAAACAAGGACACAGACTGTATAAAGTATGTAGATGTTACATATCATTAGGCTCTATTCTCCTGTCTGACTGGTTGGGCATAAATTTACACATGTTAGCATAATGTTTACAAATGCAACAAGTGCCACAGTATCTAAAGCTCAATACTCAATTCTTTCCCCAGATTTTGTCTCTGTGGCAAAGGAAACTTGGTTCTGTGTCCTGATCTGTCTTTCCACAGGAATGTTTGAAGCTGTGGCTTATGAAATCTTCGGTAATCTCAGTGAATATCGATTTTAAAAAAGAGCAAAACAGTGGAGTGGGGTGCTGTAGCTAACGGATTATTAAAACATGAAACTGATCGGATGTTTAACAGGGAAATAGAGAATGTGCAGGTGTCATCACGCCGTGGTGAATTTTGGGAAAATGCTCCATTTTGGGAGCTCACGCTCATCCATCATAGAGATATACCCTACATACATACACTATCCCATACAGCTACATACAGTAGCAGGTGTTTCAACTACTTCCAAAAGTTCACTTTAGTGTTCAGCTTGATTCATCTGCGGTGTATTATCTGCCAACAGCTGCTAGCCAGCATTAGCTCCCAAACCGAGAGCTGAGATCAGGGTGTGGAGTCATTTTTCAGTCTGTCACACTCATCGACAGGATCTCTAGGTCCACTACGAGTTAGCTACAGTCAGGCTATCCATTCTGAATTACTACAATCAGTAAAGTGAGATCTAAATGATTTAAGGAACTTTTAGCCAAACAAAACAAGAATGCATGCAGGTAAAAACAGCAATTATCTCCCAAAACAGTGCCCCTGTCCATTCAACACGACATGACATCCCTTCACACCCTCTATTATACTAATAAAACTAAAGTGCCTTCACAAAATCATGAAAGAAATTAAAAACCAGTGTGAAAACCAGAAATGCAATCATAAGTTTAGCAGTCATGGAGCTAGAGCCAAATGGTGCTTTATTCTACCTCCATTTATCCCCTTGGACTGTTGGACAGATTTTCCCAACGTGTCACGCCCCCAGTGAAACCCAGTTTGAATGTCCTCTTACCGGATGTTGTGGGACTTGCGCTTGATCTCATTCCAACAGAGGTTCATCTCTCCTGTTTGGTGTGAACCACCTCCTCTCAGTCTCCTGCACTCAGTCCTCTCCTCCTGCCCCTCACTGTCCACTGTGGACTGGCATGGCACACAGTGGCATCCCGGCCACGAGGGCCGCCCCGCAGCTAAAAACAGATAGAGACGCAAAGAAGAAAGAAAGCAAGAATGTGAGTATTACAGTCAAATAGTATGTTTTTTTGTAAAGGCTGGCTTTGTTTGATTCTGTCTTTTTGGATTGAGCTTGCTGATAATTAATATTTTTGTGTTGGCATATAATGTGAATAGGATCAGAACATTTCTGTCTTGGCAAACCCAGAGGCAGTATAAAGAAAAGCCATTGTGGTTGACAACAAAGCCTACAGCTGCCACACTCCATCCCAAATCACTGCCACTTTCCAGAGCAGTAAAACACTGCCTCATACTATTATAAACTGTTGTACATTTGTGTCTGATAAGCTTTCAAACTCGAGGATTTGTTAGTCAAATTCACTGTCTGACAGGTGTTATGGACTGAAAGCTCACTCAGAATGAAGAAGCAATATGTTTATACATGTGTAGTAGACCACATCAAAGACAAGACAAGACAAGACGTAACTTGGATTTTACAGATTTTTGCATTTGAGCACATTTATGCCAAATACATTTTGGTTGATTCTTAAGTGAATTTATGAAGTTTTTCTTTTAACTTCTGCACATGACACAAATCCTGTTTCATTTCATGAAAGCAACAGTGCATTATCATCTGAAGGCTTTTTTTAAAAACTTATTTACTATTCTTTTTACAGTGGAAAGAAGTAATCTTCAAAATATGTACATTAATCCTTTATAAAAAAGCATTACTCTACTGTAAAATCATTTATGGACATACATTTATAGACCATTGAGAGCAGGACCTCCAATCTGTCATGAAGCGATTGAGCATAAAATAAATTACAGTTGGTAAAAGAATAAACCTCTGTCTCCCTCTGCCAGCCTCTAGTTAGAGACAATACAATGCAACTGCACACTGGAGCCATGCTCAAAGTGTGAAGCACCACAGACACACACACACACACACACACACACACACAAACCATCTAGTCAACAAGTCAGAGCCAAACTAAATAACTTTGCCCTGTATGCAAGCTTGAAAACCTGCATCACAAGACACTGGCAGTTTTATTATTCCACTCCATTAAACTCAGGGAGGCAAACACAGACAAAAAGCCTCTTTTTTCACAGACTTTTAGAGCAAAGGGGTATGTGAGGATAGACTTGAAGAGGCGCAATCCCCTTGATGTATCTCAGGGGAAAAATATCAAGGAGACAGTCCATGTGCGCACACACACACACACACACCATAATACTGTAAGTGGCATTCAGGGCAGTAGATTCTTTTCCAGGCTCACAGGTCATGATAAATCTTATATTTGATCACTGGGCTGTCAGAGGCTTCCTTTTCTCTCTGTTCATTTCACAACCTTTACCTTAGTAGCAGCAGGTTCTCCAGGCTAACACCCTCAGCCTTAGAACATACACACAAACAAACACACACACATGCCACAACCAGGAGCTTCCCTCGTGTCTGGTCAGAAGGCTCTAATCTCACAGTTTTTAAAACGGGTCGATCTGATTCTCCACCCGCAGCAGGGCACAGCCTCAGACCTCTACAGCAGCAACCAGCCATCCATCTACTGCAACACACACAATCACATAGAAATCACACTCACTCAGATGCACGGTTATCAAAACAGTTTGGTAGCGCACATTTTGAGAGCTAACTTACTTGCACTTAATTAAAACTGCTTGAGACAAGTGTGTTCAGCTCAAAACTCCCAAACTGCAGTGTGTTTTCTTTTAGCTTTGTTTAAGGGGGTTTAAATTAAAACTACACGAGGTAGGGCAGTCGTCTCCCTACCAGCAAGTTGGTGGTTCGACTCCCGGTCTCCCCGCATGCCTAAGTGTCCCTGAGCAAGACACTGAACCCCAAATTGCTCCCGGTGGCTTGACTAGCGCCGTTGCGTGGCAGCCTGTCGTCATTGGTGTGTGCAGATTTCTTTTGTCATTTTTAAAATGACTGAAAAGGTTTTTGTTTTGTTTTATGGTTATTAGAGGTGCATCATCAGAAAATTACTTGGCAACTTTCTTATAAGCAACTAATCATGTTAATAATTTTTATGAAGACACAGCAAACATTCAAGCTTCTGTAATGTGAAGAGTTTTCCTTTCTCTGTTGTGTATCACTGTAAGCTAATTAACTAAACAAACATACAACTAAGACATCTGAAACATCACCTTGGACTCAGGAAAAGTGGGACAGACACTTTTCACTGTTTTCTGCTGTTGTTTGGACTAAATTATTAATCAGATAATCAAGAAACGAAAGATTAATCGATAAAAAAATAACTGTTGTTAACATCATTAATGTTATATGTAAGATGTTTTATTTCTCAAGGTTTACACATTGATCCTGTCCATAAAAACAAATGTAAAACTACAAAAAAGGTGTTTCACTTTAGAGAAAAATTTACACAGATTGTTAAAAACTACTTTTACTGCAGAAACCTCTCTATCATTTAATGTTAAATGTATCTTAGTCACTGCTTCCCTCTCAGTTCTTCTCTCTGATGTACAGGTGTTTAAACAACGTCAGCCTGAAATGAAGTAGGAAGAAGGAACCTTTGTTGCGGCGTCGACGACTCCCCTGGTGAGTGATACATTAGAGGGAAAAACTTGCTTGTAGCACCCTTCCCTCCCCGTTTCTTTATCGGTACATATTCATTCTGCGCTCTATCTTTCTAGTCTGTTCTGCAGACCATCCCCACCTCAGTCTGGCCAGATGAGTTTTTTTTTTCTGTTTCACATGAATCATCACCAACTACTTTCCACTCCTGTCTCCTGTTATCTTGTTGCTTCTTTCCCTCCCTTTTCTCCCTCAGACAGCTCCTGTTAGTGTAGGTGAGTCTTGTGTGAATCAGCACTACCCTGCACATCTCTCCCACGCACTTCTGCTCTTTCTCTTCACTGGTAATGAGAGGTCACATGCGACTCTGCGTACTGTTAGCTCGCCAAGTCCTCACTTGAGCTCAAATACATTAAAATATTAACATACGCAGCTTTAGATTCGGTGTACTGATTTGATTCACTTTGTTTTTCTGTTTGTGAATAAAACACAGAAGGCACACATGACACGATGTTTATGAGCAGAACGGCAGCGTGATTGTTTGTTTGCTTTGGAAAGCTGCCCCTTCAACATGTGAAATGAAATTGAATAATGACAACCATCAACCACACCGCTGCTAACACAGAGAATACCCTGTGGGTGGAAGATAACTCAGAGAGGTTTATTTTGGGAACGAAGAGGGAATTGAGTGACAGACAGCCCCTGCCGGCAACCTCAAATCTCTCTTCTTCCTCTTCAGCTTTTTCTCAGATAGCTACTAAGGGTTTCACAAAAAAGACCCGAACTCATACCTTATTCCACCTAAAGGAATGTATTTAGTTTTGAAAAAAAAATCACCTTTTTTCTGCAATATACAAGAAGCCTCTACAAAAGGGAAATGATGTCAACAAAAATCATGTCATGCAACTGTCAGTTTTATCTCCATTTCGTAAACACACATCTGCATCCTGCAGCCATGTATCAGAAGGATCTGTCTCCCACTGTAGGCTTCACAACATGAGTCAAGCTTTAAACATGCATTATTTACAGCTTTTATTGGACGTGACATTGCTCAGTCAAGCGAGTGTGCTGCATCCTTTCCATAGATACTGAAAAGACCAGCAGAGATTTCACTAACATACCACAAAGTGACACAGCCAATGTTCATCTTGCTGCTATGGCTCTCATCTCCATGTAATCACGACTGCTTCCTAAGAACTCGTATCTTAACTAATTATGTGAATAACACAGACAGAATACCTTTCCCTTGTTTGTTTCCTGACCACTCAAGCAGTGGCTAACTGAAAGATCATTTTCTTAGACAATATGTGAATTTCAAATAAAAGGAGGTGAAGGTAATAAATGATAATGCACAAAGCTGCTGGAATTTACAGCAATAGAGGAAAGTCAGTTCAAATGTGCAGATAAAGCATCAGAAGATCAAAGCCACTGTGCCGCTACACCACGTCCACACTTTGATATTAAGAAATCAAGACTGTAGCTGAGATATCCCTAAGAAGCAATAAGATAGCTAGGATTTACTGTCATTACTGGAGCTGTGCAGGTAAATGCAATTGTTTCACAATGTGCAGTGCCTACCTTAACAGTACAGACTTGCTGCGCCGACTCAAGTTGTTAAGCCCGTCACTAAGGGTAACTGAGAGTTGACATTATTTACCCTGTCTGCTGGTTGGCTTGGCAGTGAATGCAGAGACAACGTGGGCATGCAAAGAGAAATAAAACAGACAAACAGGGAGAGAAACTGAGGTAGGGAGGGTGAGGAGGAGAAGAAAGGCACATGCACTGGGAGAGATGGATGACCTAATAAGTAAAGACTTCTCTCTTGGTCAAAGGCTTCTCTGATCTTCTAAATTCATGACAAC